TTGCTCTGGCAAATTTCATAAAAGTCCCAAGCAGCAGCTTGATAATTAACACAGCAAAAACTTGCAACTTCAAAATAAAACAGTTTCTGCAAAAACATTTTGGTTTTGTGTATTTGGGAGAGGTCAAAAGATCATCTGGAGCAAAATTTTGCTGGATTTCAAAAGTTCCTTTAAAAAAAAAAATCTTAAAATTAACTTTTTTTTTTTTTTTTTTTTTTTTTTTTCTTTTACAGATTGAGCTGGCCAAAACAGAATAAAAACCTTCTAAATCCAAAGATCTGGGTTCTGACTCAGCCTGGAGATCAGTGCCCTCAGCCTGGAGCCAGCCCTGCCATCCCTGATGCTCCCTGGCATCCCTGCTGTCCCCAGCTTTGCAGAGGGGGCAGAGGTCCCAGAGAGGTCCCACTTCCTTTTCCTGTCAGGACTTTTGGGGTTTTTTTGGGAGGGAAGTGGCCTCAGAGGTGCGGAAAAGATATAAAAATCTGGGACATGCATTTTAAGGAAACCAGGCTGCTCACAGCTAAAAATAGCTGTGATTTCCCCTCTCCACTTTACTGCCACGAGGGCACATGGGATTATTGCTGATTTTGTTGTTGTGTTTTGGCTGCACCCAAAGCCTGGAGCGAGTGGCAGCCCTGGGAGAGCCTCCCACGTCCCTGGGCCCAGCTCGGCTGCCACAAACTTCCCTAAAGATGTGACAGCTCCACTGCTCAACTGGACAGCCCAGCCCTCCTGCCCTTGCTGGGTTTGTGGCACTTCAGTTGTAACTCAGTGATAACCAAGGCAGACACAGCGTCCTGGGGATGGGGAGGCTCTGGAAGCAGGAATTGGGGTGCTCAGGAGTGGGCACAGCACAGGAGCCACAGGGGAGCAGCAGAATCACCAGGGGGTCAGATGAAGGGCAGTGCAAGGACAGAAGGAAATGAGGCAAGGGCACAGGGAGGAGGAGCAGCTGCAGCTCTCTGTGCCCACGGCACCCACAGGTGAACACCAAGAGGATTTTCTCTGCTCCCCAGCAGCTCCAGCCCTCCCACTTGACATCAAACCCCAGCAGTTTGCTTTGCTGAGCAGCAAGCTGGGATCTGACAGGGATCTGGGACCAGATCCCTGCAGGGAATGCAGAGGGAACCCCTCCTCTGCAGCAAGGGCAGCACAGAGCCCCAGCAGCAGCCAGGCCACCTCTGGAAAGGATGAGGAAAACCCAGCCATAATCCAAATGTAATCTGTCCCACGAGGGCAGCAGGAAGGAGCTGCACTCCTGCCTTCCTCATGTCAAAGCCAAGGGGGGCAGAGCTCCTGTGGGACACTGCAGGAGCAGAGGCAGCTCAGGGCAGCACCTTTAACAGATCCTGATCCCATTAACTGATTGGGAATCCATAGGAACATCAGGAGGGGCAGCAAGGGCTCAAAGATGAGCAGAAAGGGAGAGATCCCAGCAGAAAGGGCTGGGATTCCAGAAAGGACTGGAACATCAGTCCTGCACATCTGCAAGGGGTAAAGCTGAAGATGGGAGAGAATTAAACCCAGGACAAGCAGCAGATCAGCTCAGATCCCAGGGAACTGGGGGTCATTTTCCCATGGCAGGTGCCAGCTGGGGTGTTTGCCAGGCAGCAGCACCACGTTCCCTGCCCTGCAGGAGGTACCAGTGGACAGGAGCACACAGTGTGCTCTTACTCAGTGTTTCACTCTCCTTTTGCTCTCTAAATGCAGATTCTCTTCTCCCTCCCTAATTCCTGACACGTTTGTTCCAGGCATCCATCCCTACCTACAATTCTTTGCCATGCCAAAGGATTTGGGTTAATGCAAATAAAAGGAAACTGTTTTATTCCACCTACAAATCTTCTTTGGCTCCCAGCTACGGGACTGTGGGGTGAAATCCAGCCCTGGAGGAAGCCAGAGAGCAAAAGCCTCTGTGCCAAGTGCTCTCTGCAGGATGGATTTGCTGCTGCTGCTGCTGAGAGATGCTCGATTCCCTGGCTTGGATATTCCACTGGAGGAAGTGCTGGGGGGTGAGGCTGGCAGAGGAGAGCTGGGATGGAGCTGGGCACAGGGACGGGCACTCAGGGTGGCAGCAGCCAGGAGGGGGCAGGAAGAGGGGACAAGGACAAGGAGCTGCCTCCTGGTGATGGCCAAGGAAGAAGGGAGCCAGGGAAGGGCTGGGAGCTGCAGCTGCACAGAATGGGCAGCGTGGGTGGGGGCTTCTCCACAAACAGAAAATTCATCAAAAGCAAACAAGCGGAATACGAGTTTCGAGGGACAGAAAGAATTCATGGCTTCGGGTCAAATTCAGCAAATATTTTTAGCCAGAAGAGGGAAGGTTCTAAACCACCATTTTTAAAATAAGATTTTTGTTCTGTAGTTCTCCAGATGAGAAGTTGTCAGTTCCTTCCCCAGTGAGGAGGTCTTGACCTCAAAGAGCAGCACAGCCACATCGGAAGGGTTGGGCAACTCAACCCAAAATCTGCCAGGTTGGTCAGGATCACTTTGCTTCACTGAAACCTCCCAACATCGCTGCTCCAGTTTCACTGAAACAATTCTCCTCTTCCCCATGGGATTTCTTGGTTCAGCCACAGAGCTGAAAAATCCATTATTAGCCTGGCTGTAATGCAAAGTTCTGCTGTGCACCCCGGCCCACAGGCCTGCCCAGCCTCTCAAACAGCTCTCAAAGGGTATTAAATAATGTGGCACAGCCAGTCCTTAATGGCCCTGCTGAGCTTTCCACAGGGAGCTGATGGAACCCTGCATGTGACAAGGACACTCATCTGCCCTGCAACAACCACATTATTTATGGTAATCGCCGGACAGGGCTGGGCACAAATCATTTTCTTAAACACTTAATACTTCATGGCCTGGTATCAGCCTCTGCACTGGCCTCCACAACTGGTGTTTAAATGAAAAAAGCTTTTCCTATGGTCTCAATTCCTAGAAACTGATGACCAGCTTCCCATTCCCACAGCACAACCCTGCTTCCAGAAATGGCAGAAATGTCTCCTGCCCAGGGAGGGTGGTGGGAGATGTTCCTCCCCCCCACTGCCAGCAGCACTGTGGAATAACAATGCTGAAGGGAAAACTCCAACCAAGCCTTGCTGGGAAAGCCCTGGTGCAGTCCAGAAGGGTTTTGCCTGTGTAGATTTATAACCTCTAGTCCCTTTTGATCTTGGTGTACAACTAAAAAAAGCCTTTCAGTATCAGTCCCTAAATCTCCTGTCACCGAGGAGTGGCCTGGCCATTGTCCTGCTCCTCACAGGGAGAGCCCCCCTCCTTTGGAAGGAGTTTTTGACTTGCTGGACCCTTCTGAGAGCACTGAAATAGGCCTCAATGCCAAGATGGAGTTAAATCCAAGTTTCGCACTTCAGCCAGCCTAGGATGGGACTCCTTGGTCTCCACTTGTGTCCAGCTCGAAAGGACTCAGAGGAATAAAGATGTTTGTGCAAATGGAATAAAAGATTTGGCGTGAGATGGGGTGAGGAAAGCAAAGCTGGGAAAGAATCCCGAAGCAAGGCAAAAGTGCCCTGGGATGAACTGCCCTGATGGAGAGTCGAGCAAACCTGCTGGAGACCAGGACTGGGGGAAAAGGAGTGGAGGAAACTCAGCGGGCAGAGCCACTTCCCTCTGGGAGCACAGGAACGATCCCTCAGGGCATTTCTGATCCTCTGCTCCCCCGGCTCCCAGCAGAGCTCAGACCCCTCACCACAGTTTCCTCAGCTGCAGAAAGTGCTTGTGCTACAAAAATAGAGTTATTGCCTGACAGCTTGAGGCCAGGGGTGTGATTAAACTGAAACTCAGAAATCTGACCCGCTTCTGTAGCTGCTGCGGTGCCGCTGCCCCAGCATCCCGGGAAAGCCCCGAGCGAACGGGTGAAAAGACACGGCAGCATTTTCCGGAGCCAGGGTGGCTCTGCGAGCCCGGCTGGGTGGCTGGGAGGGTCAGAAACAGCGTCAGGGATGCTGGAAACAACCTGTCCCTGTCCCTGTCCCCGTCCCCGTCCCTGCTGTCCGCTCTCGCTTGCGCGACATCCCCCGGAATTTCCAGGCGCCGCATGACACACAGCCACGCTTCTCCACCTCTGCCCGATGACTAATTAATATTTGCTCAACCTCTGCGAGGTCTCGGGTGCAAGGTGCCAGAACAGGGTGAAAGGGTTTTCTCTTTCCTGAAGTCGTTTCAGGGCGGCTTCAGCGCCCGGGCGCGGGAGGTGCCGGGGCCGAGCAGGGGCTGCGGCTCTGGGGCTCGGCCGAGTCCCTGCGCCCACCGGCCCTGCTGCCCCACAGCTCTGCCCCCAGCCCTGCAGCTGCCCTGCGCCCCCGGGGGGCTCCATCCGTGTCTTATTCCCAGGGAAGGACAACTGAGACAGCAGGAGGCTGAGATGAACAAGCCCAATGCAAAGCCCGGGGTTTGGCGCAGCTCAGGGGAGCGGCTGCACCAGCCCGCTGGAGAGGTGCCTGTAACTTCTGCTCCATACAGTTTCCCCCATTTTAATACAATTCCCATTAATTAGAAGGAAAACGATTCGTGTCTTGGATGCTGCACTTGGATGAGATTGAACTGTAAAACTCTAAAATCTGCCGTGTGAATTTTCCTGCTCCCCTTTCTCCTTTCACGGTAGGAAAGAGGAGAAAGAGTGGCTGCTCCTCTATTTAATTACCTGAGAGATGCCTGGACACCGCAATAAAGGGGCTGTATAAATACCTGCACAGATGAGCCACAACCATCCCAAACACAGCCTTGCATCACTGCGGGCCTGCCCGAGAAGCCTCTGACCCTCCCAAGGCAAACATCCTCAAGAAACTGAACTTCCAGGTGTATTCCGAAGCAAGAAGTAGGACACTGATCCCATTCCTGCAGCGAGCGAGTGACAAACCTCTGGCATTTCCATCACCTGTCAGCAGCAAAACTTTTGGGGCAGCACCAGAGATTAGAAGCTGCTGCACAATGAGAGCAGGGAGATCAGACCCGGGCTGCCGGGGAATGTGGCTGCCCGCTCCCACTCCAACTCTTACCTCAGTGGGATCTTAATAGCCAGGTACCTGTCGATGGCCACGGCCAGCAGGCTGAAAATGGAGCTTTGGGTCAGCACCAGCACGAAACAGGCGAAGAAGAGGCAGCTGTGAAAATCCACCTGGAAGCCGATGCTGATGGTGATGGCGAAAGGGATGGCCAACAACCCCACGGCGATATCGGCCACGGCCAGCGACACCAAGAAATAGTTGGTGGCGTTCTTCAAGGTGCTGTTGATGGCCACAGCCCAGCAGACCAGCACGTTGCCAGCGATGGAGAGCACGGCGATGATGAGCTCCAGCACGATGTAGGTGGTTTTCATAGTGTCCATGGCGAGCGCCAGCGCCGGGAGCGGGCGCTGCTCATGGGAAGAAGGGACTTTCCTCGGGGCGCCCTCCCGCAGGTACCAGCACGGCACGGGGCAGCCGAACGCCCATGGCCGGGCTCCCCGCGGCCTTGGGGGGCCGGAGGGGCGCGGCGAGCGGGGCTGCTCCTCCCGGGATGCTCCGCCCGGGGATGCTCCGCCGCTGCCGCCCGCTCCCCGCGGAAAAGCCGCTGCCGGTGGCGGCGGGGCTATTTCTGCTCACGGGGCGAGCGGGGCGGGGAGTGCGCGGCGCGGAGCCATTGGCCGGGACCCGGCGGCACCGGCACCGCGCCCCCGCAGCGCCCGGCACCGCTCCCGCAACCCCGGCCCCGCTCCGGAACCCCCGATCCCCTCCCGAACCCCCGATCCCCTCCCGCACCCCCGGCCCCGCTCTCGCACCCCGGTCCCGCTCCTGCTTCCCCCAGCCCCGCTCCCGCACCCCCGGTCCCGGCACGGCTCCCCCGAGGTTTTGGGCACCGCTTTGCACAATTCGGAATAAAAAGTTGCCCCCGCTGTCCCCAAACTCGAGGACTCCGGATGCTGCCGCTCCTCCGGGGCAGAGGAGCTGCCGCACCGAAAATAAAATCTGCCACCAGCAGAGTGCTGACCCAAAGTTGGAGATTTCACAAAATCCTGGCAGCAGCTCGGTCTCTGTATAGTTGTGGCACAGCGGGGTATTTCCTGATGTAAGAAATGGCAAAATACCACGGATTAGCAAATGCTGTTACTCACAGGGCTGAAGTGGTTGAGTTTCAGTCTAAGAAGTTTTAAAAAAAGTTAGACCTGAAGGGGTTGTCTGCCCTGGTGGATCTTAAACCAGCAGGGAAGGTGAAGGTAATTTAAAAACTGGTTACCTTTTCATTGTAGGTTCCATGCTTTATATTGTGTTCACCATCAAAACACAGAACAGAGATTGAACCTCACACCACTGCTGAAGCATCCAGCAGCACTGAATAGCCCAGGGTAGAAAGTGGAAAAAAATTCAAACAATTAAAGGTAATAAACCTTCCTGTAGCAAACAGAAAGTAAAAGATATTGCCATTGATTTCCTTTTTTTTTTTAAACAAAGTTGTAAACTACATCCTGTGGAAGGGAATGTTTTCTGAGGATCCAGAGCTAAATCAGAGCAAAAAACATATGGGAAAAATAGGATTGAAATGATTCCTTTGGGTATAGTGCAAATGGAAACACTCCTGCTGACCAGCAACACTTTGGGTCAGACAGATACAAAGGGGAACTCTTAATTTATACTGAACAAAGTCATTTTTATCAAGTTGGACATCTCAGGATGCTGCCAGAAAGCTGTGCCAGAGGTACATTTCATTTGATGGGGATTTGCCCACAGGAGCATCGCTGCTCTATGCACTCCAGGCACTCTGCTGCCACAGGGAAGAACCAATCCCACGATGGCATTAACAGGGAAGCCCTGAAATCCCGGGACTCAAACCTCAGTTTTTGCCTGGAAGTGCCCTGAAAGGAGCAGCAGTTTGAGGTGAGCTCCAGGTTCACAGCCCCAGGTCTGGCTGCTCCATCAGCACTGGCTGGATCCTGAACTTGCCCACACTGGTTTATTTATTATTTTGGGATGAGTGCAGCTTGCCTCGTGCAGAGCCTGTTATAACCATGTGAACTATCACAGAGAAGCACTTTTCCCCCCAAAGGGATGGATTTACATCAGGGTTTTCACAGACATTGTTTTCCTAGTGCAGGAACATGTGCCAACAGCCACCTTCTGCTGCTTTACAGCACCTCAGCAAAACCAGAATTAACTTTCTGCAGTGGACACATTTTATTAGAGAAAGATCTGCTTTTGTGATCATGGAAGCACTTATTACAGACTGAGCCCAGGGAAATTGTGGTTTGTCAAGTCAGACATGAACAGAAAAACCATTATTTCAGGTTCTGATGAATAGGTTGTTTGGGCAAGGTCTCTGTGAGACAGGTAGTGAGGCAGTGAATATTGTGGATTTTGCATTACAGGGAGATTCATGGCTCTCCAAAGCAGCAGAACCTGTGCCAAGGTCCAGTGGTTTATTCTGGCAGAAACTGGTGCAACTGAGCTGACTCCCAATACAACTCCTACAAGGGAAGCCAAGGACAAGTGTGCTCAGCTCTGTTCTACCAAACGTGGTTAAATCCTGCTGGCAGGAAAACCAGGACGAGCCCATTCCCAGATCCTGCCCTCCAGCTGTGCTCTTTGAGCCCTCTTAAAACATCTGGCATCACAGACCCTCCATGAAACACCAAGTGAACACCAAGTGCTGCCCTGTGGAGAACGACCTGAGCACTGCGAAACCTTGCAGCTCCCGGGGCTCGGGGGATCCACAGGTGAGAGGCTGCAAATTTATCTTCTGTAAAGGAGCAAGGAAATCACAGAACCATCGAGGTAAACGCAGCCCAGAGCCGGCAGCCTGATAGGTGAAGAATCCATTCAAGAATTAGAGTACAACAGCACCAAGGCAGAACCGGAGCCCTGCTGGATGCTCACATGCCAGACCCAGATGAATCACCACTACTATTATTTTCCTGGATTCCACTTCCCTCCAGGGATTCGCCTCCCAAACACTCACGTAGGGAACAGCAGCAGCCCCGATCTGCTGCTTTCAAGTGCAAGAACTGCCCCGGCTGCTTTGTTCCGAGGGAAGCGATTGAAAGGGATCCCACGACGCGAACGGAGCGGCCACCGCCGCTGTCCCCGCGCCTTGGCAGGAGCCCTCCGGCCTCGTACGTGCTGTTCCTTCTGTCGCTGCCGTCCCGGGGGAGCGGAGCTGTCGCTTCGGAGGCCGAGCTCTTCCTGCAGCCCCTGTGATCTCTCCTGAGCAGGCTCCGGCCGCTCCGAGGACTTCCCGAGCGAGCTGTGCCTTCACACCTCCAGCGCTCTTGGCCCGGCCACAAAGAGCTGGGGAGGAGCCCCAGGGACACATCCCTGCTCACACAGACTGCCAGGGCCCGGCCAGCCCACGGGCAAGGGCTGAGCACAAAGAAACTCCCGAGCCAGTGAGAGACGAGATGTTCCTGCTGGTCCCGCAGCCAGATCTGCCAGCTCAGACACTCCTCAGCAGCCTCAACAACAAATTTTCCTCTCTAAGCCCACAGAGTTAAAGAACAAGCACTGAAGTGGGATTATCTCTGCTGCAAAGGGACACAGATATTGTCTGGCTATCAAAAATAAAAGTGGATGCCATATAAGAAGTCCATCTGTCTTGCTGCTTCAGGCACTTCTCATATGGGCCTTGGCAGCCCTGCATGGAGCTGTGAGTGCTGCAGTGGTGGGCAGAGCTGCCTCTGGGGTGCTGCAGGGCATCAGCCCAGCACTGGTGCCTTTGCAGCAGAGGGGCTGCCATCCATCCCCTCCCGTGGAGGGCAGAACTGCCCGTGACCCGGGAATGGGAAATCAGGAGCGACAGAGGCAGTGCCACCAGCCTGGCAGCGCTGGCACTGCCTCCCGAGCCCCAGCCCCACTCAAGCCTCCACTGGTACTTCTGAGCTGTTTTCCTGGACAAGACACGGCCCGTCCTGAGCCCGACTCCAAGAAAGGATTCCCAAGACACAACGCAAGCCCCAAACCACAGAGCAGGTACAAAAAGCGCCTTTGAAATGGAGCTGCCAGCGACAGGCTGAACTGCTCGGTCTGCCCAAGCCAGGTGAAAGGAATGGATGGGTTTGGATGACTTGCAGGCACCTCTGCATGTTTATTGCCCACATTGTGTTGAGCATTAGCACATCAAAGGCTCCTGATGAGCCCTGAATTAAATTATGAGGAGAGGAATGGCCCAGGGTGAGGTTGGTAACAGTAGGGCTGCAGGCATTTTGCTGGAAGAGATGGAAAACAAAGAGTGAAATTCCACGGAAAGCTATTTCCATACTGGAGATTTCAATCATTCGGCAAAACCCTTGGAAAACCAAACAGAAAAACTTAAGATCGTAAACTGTGGATGAACAAACTTGGATTTTCCTAGTCCCCAGGGTCATTGCCAGATAACAAGCGATATTATTCTGGAATCTCAAACCGGTGCTTTAAATTATCTGCAAGAACTCATCTCACAACAATGCAGGTGTGTGAATTCTTTAGAAATTGTTTCATTAGAAAACAAAGAAGTCACCACAGGACTGAAAAAAAAATAAACCATAAACGGCTCCACCAAAGCAGTTGAATTAAAAAGGAAGGATTTTGGCTGAGCAGAGTCCAAGGTATGAGAACATCATTTTGAAGAAACTTTTCATATTTTTTCTCTGTGTTTGCTTTTGTGTACTAACCAGCTTCTAGGGTGGAAAGCCAAGTGCCTCTTCCAGCAGGATTTGTGAAGCAAAAGCCCAGCAGGGCTGAGCCCTGCACGGGGCTCCCAGCAGGTACTGGGCCCAGTGCCTCCTTTATGCTGGTGGAGCTGGTGCAGCCAATCTCCCCAGAAATCGATGGGAAGCGTTGTGTTTCCAGGCCAACACCAGCTCCGGAGAAGCTGGACAGGCACTGATGCCCTTTGCAATTCAAACAACCTGGGATTGCTTCATTCAGAGCTGAGCTGCTTCCTGGGCAGAACCTCCACGAGTTCAAACGCCCAGAACTTGCTGAGTGTCCTCTTCACTCCCAATCAACTCTTCACAGCAAAAGGAGAAGTGGTTCTGCTCTCTGACATCAGGGAAATGAGTCCTCAGCCCCAGCCTTTAAAGCAATTCAGGTTCACGTACAGATGTGACATTTGGAGCTCCAAATGAATGCAGTGAATGGGTGCAACACAACTGCTCTGAATATGGAATTATGCTCAAATACTACAGAAGAGCAAGGTTTAGTTCAAACCCCTCAGCTGGCTTTCTCTGTGCAGGATGAGCTCATGATTTATAAGTATCTGTTATTATTATTATTATTGAGATTATCTGTGGCTGTCAGAGGACTTAGAAACCTCTGGTGTTCCAGGTCCCAGCCAGGGCTCAAAACCATTTTTGATCCCCAAAAATCAGGCTCCTTTTACAGGCAGGGCCAGGCAGGTCACCCAGGGGTTAAAGAGCAGCTTAGCTGTGGTGAAGGGAAATGCAGAATACCCACAAAAATACGAATGAGCAAATGCAGGGGCAGGACCAACCTTCCTGTGCACAGGCAGCTGCCAGCAAACACTGA